AGGCGCCAAATGGCTAAATCAAAAAGAACATAAATCAGTGTATGTTCAAACAAATCAAGATGGAAAAAGGCAAAGCAAGAACTAACCTTCTGGAGCACTCAAAAAGCGTGCATTTACATAAGCTATAATCTCATCGACTCGTTCTTCATCTTCTAAATTAGCAATCGTTCGGTCATGTCCTTTTAAGATATATTTGAAAAGGTATTTAATTGCTCTGATGCTAATGGCTACTTCTACGTTAATATGGCAACCATACTTCAATATCAAAAAGCGGTTGTATGGAACTACAGAGCCATTGTCGTAGCGGTAACCAGCTTTGGCAAAAAATCGTCCATTATTGGGACGCTTATAGGTAGGGTAAGAGTTGTCATGAACATTGGTTGTTTCAAGGAAAGGGCGTGGGTATCCGGGTCTACATTCTGAACCTGTCCAACACTTGTAGTTTTGACATGGTCCATGAAGCATGAACTGGGTTACTAAATCACACATGAGAGGCTCGCTTTCGGGATCTGGAAGTTGAGCAGAGATAATAGAATCCACTTCTTCAGCCGTTTCGGGTCTTGAATCTCGGTCCAGGAATAGAATTAAGTGTACATGAGGGAGCCCTCGTTTTTGGAATTCAATTGAATAAACATGGGCTACACACTTTCTGAATCTTTCTCGTTTTGTTACGTCTTCAAGTAAAGTAAGGAATTTGAGATAAAAGACACGTGCAACTACATCGGGTCGATCCTCTGGCGTTTGTCCGGGATCCAGTGCCTCTAGAACTTCAGGCCATTGAGGGTTGGCCGTCATTGTGATGAAAAGACTTGGATTACCAAATTCAACTACCAAGCTCATCGTGTCCTGATATAATTGTTGGAGATGACGCGGTCCTCCTATAAACGTAGATGGTAATACTACTCTCCTGCCTATTATATCCTCTTGAAACTCATTCCCCAATGCCTCAATTGCCCCACTGTAAAGTGCTGCTCGAATTTCTTTTTGATGATAACGCAGGTATTGAAGGCGAGAGTGTTCGACACATAAATACATATCGACAACGAATTCTTGAAATAGTCGTCCAGCAGCAAGGATCACCGAGAAAGCAGGGCGTTTGAATAATAAATAGGCAAACCACTCTAGATTGCTGATGTCTCCTGTAACATCTGGCAGAAAGAGTTAAGTGAATGCAAAAGAGAAATTCACAAATCAATCGATTCAACATTGTTTGATTTCCACTCGAACTCAGAGAAAGCAGATGACTTACTTTGTTCATTAGAGTTTTGGTATGCTTCAGACCAAGTTTGCGATCCATATAAGAATAACAAAGGATACCTCAACGCGAAGTAACCAGTGTGTAATTCTGAAATACGCTGCAAATCACCTGATTGACGTTGTAATATGATATCACGTGGATGCGCACCAATTTGTCCATCGCCATCGACTATGGCAGCCACTTCATTTGCAGTTGGCCTGTTGTAACGTCGATGATCAGTTCCGGCGGCCGTGATAGTCTTGATCCTTAGGGTCCGAGTACTCCTTTCATCGCAAATAGCAGAAGCCGAACGGAAAACTTGAGCATACGGATTGTGTTCATTCAAGAAATTCTGAAACTGCATCAAAATTCTTGGCTCTAGTTCCTTGCGACAACGTCGGATACGAAGATTAGCCTCGTCTTCATCATTTCCACCGTAGGAAAGATTTGAGCGAAGCCTGGTTCTTCTGTCGGCAATGGGATCAAAGATCCAATTAGATCAGATAATTGCCCTGAGACTCGAAATACGTATATACCTCGTTTTCCTGCAACCGTCTTATCAATTTTGGCCCCAAGCGAGGTGAATGATAGAGCATTATTATATTTTTGAATAAGAATTCGGAAGTCTTGCGCCTCTACAAATCCAAATCAAATTAAATCAACTTCATAAATCATTCAGCAATACGTCTACACAATTTGCAAACCTTGATCTAAGCCACTTAACAAAGCCCTATAGAATTCCGGAATTTGCTCGCCAACGTCGTCAGGGAAGTATCGGAGTGGTAAATCTACAGCCCTTGCTGACAGCAATTTGATTACGTCGCAGTTATATGATTTGCATCCTTCTGACAACGTTCAATTCGCCATCTGAATGCCTTGCAAGCTGCACATTGATCGTTTTGTCGTCCAATATTTAAGGGGATTTCATTCGGGAAACGACGTAATAAACTCTCTTCTGAGCCAAGAACCTCGATCGGAATTGCAGGTCCCCGTACACGAGCCCTTGGTGGCATATTAAGCTGATTTTCACTTGAGTAATTGACCGAAGAAATCAAATCCAAGATTTATTTCAATCCAAAGTGGTTTTTGAGTGACTTCGCCTTTTATAGAAATGATTTATATTTTAACGACGAATTGCAGCATAAATCAAGAAACAATCCGAGGTTCCAAAATCAATCGCAATTCAATCAAGAAAGCAATAGAAGAGACTTACAATCTTAGACCAAAAAAGTTTTGAACGAAGCACATCAACCATAATTCAAAGAGAAAATTGGATACAATTCAAAATTCAATCTATTTTGAAAGCAAAAGAACAAGAGAAACATACCGAGTTGAAAAAAACTTTCTTTTGTAGCTGACTGAATTTTAAAATAAATTGGAAAACAGAATGAAAGATTCTGCAAATTAAGCATCTTAAAAACCTCTAAACAAAAACGACATCAAGAAAACTTACGAGCTAAGTAAGACTTGTCTAATTTGAATTCGCAATAGGATGAGTTTTTGAAAATTAATCACCTCGTTCAGGTGTGAAAAAGGTGGGTCTGTTTTAAAAACAGTGCGAATGATTAAGTAACTACCAAATTAAAGGGCCGCTATAAATTTGTACTTATTCTAATTTTTTCTGGTATTTCTGAGCGAGCGTCAAACCTGAATCGAAACTGCGAGACGGCCAGTTTATATCTAGATCAGTTATAAACAATAAATATAATAAATATGATAATATTTATTATTGTGATTGGCACTAATCTGGTCAGCTCTCGTTTTGAAATTTTGTCCATACGTTTGTTGATATAGATACGCCGAATCACAGTTTTAACGTGAATCTAGTCGCTTGGGTGCTTCCTAGTTGTGAGCTTGCTGTTCATGATGTAACCAAGCTTATACTTGAAGCTGTTTTCGTTTAATTCTAAGTATTCAAATACATAAAAGTTGAATTCAAAAGCGAGACCAATGTCGGAATTCCTGAAGAGACCAATAATAAGTATGTTCATCAGCGCTGCACGACTGTTATCGGCAAATCAAATGGAGTGATAAACCAATTATATTCTTCAAGTTGTTTATATTTTTCAAATTGATTATTGTCCGTCACTGTCGCACATTCACGAGTTGTTATCATTTGTTACAACGCCGTCCGTACGTCAATTGTCTCCGGTATGTCCCTACAGGCGGTAGTCGAGAAGTTCGTCGCAAATTGGGGTCAATCCTTTTGAAGGACAAACTTCAGGTTGATAAAGCACGCCAGGCGAGAATTATGCGATTGCCAATGCAGCATGATAAATCAAATCAGGTGATTGATTTGCTAGCGATTTCGTGTAATGCTTGTCGTCAAATTCTTATTGATATTGGACCTCGCGCTCTTCCCAAGGTGGGTTATTGAAATCGGTAAAGTAGTAATGCGGTTGAATTGAATGGATAAAATCCGAATCATAGATTCTGTATCAAATTTCCAGTTAGATAGATGTGCTTAATGTGACATATACAACTTAGGCCAGGTTGAGTTTCACAGCATTACACAAATATTATACTTAAATTACACAAATTGGAATATTGTGATCTCCAACGCGTGCTATTGCATTCGGATACTTTCTTAGTAGTTCTTTATTTTGATGCTTCAAACACAATCTTCCTTAAATTGTATATTCTCACGTCATATAGTTTCTGGACTAACATCATGAAGGCCCAATCTTGAGTTGATTCAACGGATGTTCCGCATGTGCTTTTAATTGTTTCATGATTTTTACCAAGCCAATGATCTGAACAGTCATCAAAATAATGTACAATTATGTAATATGTGTAATTTCTTAATTTTTCTAAGCAAACCTATGAAATTTTTCATGGGAGAGTTTTTTGGAGAATAAGTGGTTAAAATTTATTGTGGTATTTCAACATTAAAAAAACATGTCTCTTTGATTTGGACCTATACCAAAAGATTTCTCAATTTAAGCAGTCAAAGTAGTGTAATTGGGTCTATGTGAAGTTTAAGCAGTAAGCAGACGTGGACGCAGCTCATCATTTATTAAGTAAACCCATTATAATTTGAACAACAATGGAATCTGGTTTAGATAGAATATGGAAAGTAAATCAAAAGAAATCAATTTTTTATTTTCTAAGTTAAACATTTTTCATGTATAAATCAATCAAATTTTGTTTATTTCTAATATGAGAAGCCAAATGGAGAATTACAACTTTTTAGTTTTTTGGTGATGATTTTATCAGGTGAATGATGGTAAAGTTGAAAGCCCAATTTCTGAGTAAAAATAAAAGAAAGATGAATTTTTGAGATTTTGGAGTCATTTTTTCTTTAGTGTCAACTTAGTATTCAATCAATACTTGTTTTTGAATTGGGTTAAATAAGCAAATTGTAGAGACGCAAAGACCAATCATCTAAAGCAAAGAACAATTGACATCTTGAACATGTTACACTGTGAAAATAATGTATTTTTCCAAGGTGAAAAATGATTGACATTAATGCACAAAATGATTAATAATGCAGAATTAATGCAGAAAAATGCAGAATTAATGCAGAATTAATGCATTTTTAATCATTTTGTGAAATAAATGTAATCATTTTTCACCTTGGAAAAATACATTATATTTGCAGTGTTAGGAATCAAGGGTCAAAAAGGGGACGGTTTTTTTTGATCTAAGTTGAATAATACCGTTTGATCACCAATAGTTGCCAGGCAGCTGAGAATCCTTCACTAAATACAAAGCAATTCACGATATGTTGTCTAATAGGAGCTATGATAAGTGATTTGTTTGATCAACCTTCAGATGCAATGTCAAGTACTTTGTCGTTCATAGCACTTCGACGAGCGCGTGGAGCGCGAGGTCGTTTGGCTGGCGGAGCTGCTACTGGGCTTTTGGGTTTGGGAGTTACCTTAGATTTATTCTTTTTGGTTAGCGCCGGAGTGTCTTCTTCATATGATTCATCTGATGCTTTGTTCTTTGAGGGAGAAGCATTCGATTTGCTCGATGCTGAGGAAAACGAAGTTTCAGTGAAGTCTGAGGGGCCAAAGGGGATGCTCGCTTGCGAATCAGATGTGACCAATGGGGATTTGAATGCCGAGTTCACTGCTCTTGGATTGAATCTAAAATGACATGTATTTATATTTGACTAAGAATTCGGCGTCTAGACAGCAAAGATCATGACTAACTTGACAGGCTTGTGTGGGTTAACTTGGGAAGAGGTGTTACCACTCGTGGTTGCTTTATTCCCAGTCGTAGTTGACATTTCTGACTCATCAATATGTCCAGAAGTAGTGGAAACGCGGTTCACCTTTGGAAATAATTCAAATTAGTTTACAACATTAGTCTGGAAAACTGTAAGAAAACCTTACAATGACCACGTAACAATTAGTTTGCTCGTTGAAATCTTTGATGTACCCATGGAACAAGCATTCACGGCCAACCTTTATAACTTTGTATGTACCAGCAAGGTGAGGGAAAGGGCGGATTCGATATTCTATTTGGCTGGTTTTTGGAAGCTTTGTCTGCGTAGATAAAGACAATGCAGGTAAATATTAAAAAGGCCTGAAAACATGTCAAAAGAACTAACTTCAGGGTGATAGTCTGAATGCTCTACAGTCACAATTGTAGTAACTTTATCTTTACTTGGGTTCTTCGGAATTAAATGTTGGATTGAATCCTCCACGATCTCGGTTTTTTTAAGGACACGTCCTAAGGCAGTCATCCCTACAGTGTCGACTAAAGAATGAGGAAAGCCTTCTCCATTAGTTACAATTCCACGATCTGATGCTTCGAAGAATAGTTGATCGTTCCTAGTATCCAAAGAATTTCAAGGGAAAAATGCTCCTCTCAAATAGTAAATACTCTTGGCAGTTAGCTTGACGTTCTTTCCACTATACCCGATCGCTTTGATCTCGTATGAAAAACTTCGGTTGTGATTTGCTCCATTACAAGGAATGGATAAAATGTAAGTCCGATATTGGCTTTCGCGTTGTGTTAATTCGGGCGTGATCTAAAACGATGAATAAAGATCAGTAAATGTTAGTACAAATAACCAAAGATTCGTGGGACATACTTTTTCTTCAATTTCGAAATTCCCAGCAAGATAAATCCCATGTCCAGTAATACTATCTTCATCAGACATAATAGTTATAGATCAATCTGAAAATGATAAAACAATAATTAAAATACGGAATTCCTTTGAAAGATCCAAATTCAAAAGCAATTGAGGCAAAAATCAATCTGTAGTGAGAAAGTCCATCTTGAACTTGGATTAATTTTAGATGAATTAAATGTTGTTAAGCGCAAATATTTAAGTACGGTTAAGGCACTAATCAAGCAGAAGTCAATCGAAAATTAATCAGTGAATACGAATTAAGAACAGGTCAAACACAAACTCACCATCTCGAGTGCAATAAATAGAACAGATATATATATCGTTATATAGACAGATAGATAGATATAGATAAATAGACAGGAAAGATATAAAACAAACCTGTGATTCTGAGTACCGAGTTTTGAAGAGTTTTATTAATATGATGAGTGAGCAAGTTAAGCCTTGAGTGAAGATCAATTTTTGTAAAAGTAATTCGGTATTCAAAAGATCAGTAAGTATCAATCAACACTTACAATATAATTTGGGTAATAAAAAGTTTGAACGAAATGGTATGCAATATTAGTTCGTTGATAACTATTATTTAATGAGTTTGATCATTAGTACGCACAATGTTGAATCAATTTTGAATACAATGAGGTGTGTCTCAGTTTTTGGGTGACGAAAGATTGTGTGGACATTTCGTCGTGGATCTTATATGTAGATTTCTTTATTATCACCGCTGTCGACACCAAGCGAAACAAAACTGCTGTTCGATTATTAGCGCGTCGATTCATGATGATTGATGTTGATTGAATTGATTGAATTCAGTGTGAATGTCCTCAAAGGATTTTCAATCGATTCATTATGATTTTCTAGTGACTTAGTGCATATGGCTTCATGGGTATACATCGCCTAGATATAACAATATATACGTTTGATTTGAAATGAATTTCTCGTTCATTCTGATATTTTGTGAAATAATATAATGATAATGATAGATACAGTAGTATCAACGCGTGTAGGCTTCAAGAAGGCAATCAGTTGAATCTTGAAGTTTCCACAATGATAAATCTTGATTGCCATCTGATATAAAAACGCTTTGTATGAAGATAAAAAAAGATGATGTGCGTGAATAAATTCGAATTTCAGTGGTGTTGTACAGATTTTGTGTTCGGTAGGGAACCTTGGTTTTGACAGTTGATGATTGAGGTTTTGAAAAGATACCTGCAAAAAGAAAGACGCAGGCGATGAATGTTGATTTGCCTTCTTAAGGAAGATTTAATTTGTTGAATTTCCTGTGTTGACGCGAAACGGAATCATTTGAAGACATCATCAGTCAGAAGATCTCAAAATCAATCGCTTACAATTTTCCAAATACTAATAAATGATAATGGGATTATAAGTTACAATAAACAGAGGAATCAGGCGAACCCGTCTATCGGCTGAGACAGAATTTATAGATTCAGGAAGCGATGTAAAAGCATTACCATCTTCAATATTGTCGTGAAAACAACTACGTCGATAGTAGTCCTTGTGCTTTGAGATACTTCGGAATACGGGGGTATTAGTATGAAATCAGTAACAAAGACGTACTAAAACATAAGTCATCTGATTGAAATTCATGGACAAACCTTTCGTCGATATCAAATGCAACGATTAGCATTGGTGTAGTCTAGTGGGTTTTGACCTATTCACATCTGATTGCAATTGTGAAAGGTATAATAACGAAGAAGTTTGATAGGTTGATTTGCGCAAATTCATTTTGGTACCGAATGTAAGTTGTTAAAATTTGCACTGTATCAGAACTTGTATGTCATCAGACTAAGTCGTGCATGACATTTATACTTGATCTGATATACAGGAACTTGATTTTCAAATGTAAGGTAATTTTTGTATCATGGATTTTGCTTTGTTTATTTTTTTTTCTTTTGGACAAATGATAATTTATTAAAAACCCCATTGAAATATTGAACGTAACAGAAGAGTGTCTATTTGACAGTTAATCTCAAATTTGGTCATATCCGATTGTGAGAACTTTGCTGAGTGTTATTGATTACACATACCTGTAGAATAACGCAATATAGATGCAAAATAAAAACATATCGATTTAGCTGGGTAGGTACAAAAGCATGAGTCGAAACAAACAAACACGTTGCACACAGATTTTTATAAGTTGAATTCTGATAGTCTAGGCACAATCACGTCTCTCAAACAAAATGATCATTCTACAGGGCGATCACGTTACGTGAGGCAGTATAACATTTATAAGTTTTACAAAGTAAATGATGTTGCTTGTCATTAAAGCTTTACTATGATATTGGTGTATTGACAATTAAGTGCTTTGGTTTTGGGCCCAAGTATTGCATTGCTGTTCAATATAATCATTATAAGTATGGGCTTGGGCCAAAGTAAAATGTAGGAATTGCTCACCAAAATTTGTTCGTAAGTCATTCTAGGTCTGAAATGGCAGGATAAATTTTGCGCTTGAAAGGCTGCAATCAATTCAGGATCTCGAATTGTTGACGTGTTGGGGGCTATAAAAATGATGTGTTTGAGCTTCATGGGCCTGATAGCGGGATTGTCGCTCATTGATGCCAAGATCCCCTTCCAGTTCGCTTTTGATTGGACATAATTGGTGATAAAAATTTCGATTGTTTGGAAAAATGGGCATTGCAACCACTCAAGATCGGCAGATCCAATGTGAGAATAAGAACAGCGTAGTATGCGAAGTCGCGGGAACGTGTAGAGAGCTAGTATTTCTGCGATTCGGCCTGGAAATGCATCTATTGACAACACTTCGATTGAATTCCAAAGAGCGAAGAGCACTGATCCGCCTTCGTTCTGGTTGTTGGATGAGGAGTATTCTAAGAATTTGATGTCCTTCCCCGCGGAACGGCAAAAGTTGATCACCGCGTGCATATTCGATTCATCTCCAGCAAAGAACAAATGTTTTAGATTGGGCAGCAAACCAGGATTGATATATAGATTGTTGAGCGAAAGAAAATTGATTGAGAGTGATTCTAAAGAGGGGACTACGTTGAGGAGAGCAATCAAAGAGTCGGAATCGTGTTTGATGCGACGGGCAATAATAGATTCGGACCCATTATCATGGCGGCGAGAGAGGATTGAGGAAAGAATGAGGACCTTGAGATTTGAGGCGCTTTTTGCAGCTTTGAGTATTTGTTTGGAAAACCCAACTGCACCAACAAATGCGAGTTTCAATTCAGTTAAATTGGGAAGACATAAGCCAAGAATTTGTTCAATTTCGAATATATTGACAACCGGCGATGGGTAACGATCGGGATGTATATTCACATGGACACAGTGATTTCCTGAATAGATTTCGGTAGAATTCGAATATAGTATGTGTCCAATGCTCAATCTTTGCAATTGGTGCATACCGAGATTAATAAAAGATAGATTTTGTTTTTTTAACAAGTTCAAAACCATGAACGGCCACCGTAAGTCAAGTTCTTGAAACACATAGCTCTTAATGGCATTATTCCATTCCTTATTGAGAAGGCGTAATTTCAATAGAGAGAGGAGGGATACATGGTTGACGTAATGACGATCGGCCGTGTTAATGAAATGAGCAGGAGTTGTAGCAAGATCCTGGTAGAAATAATGCAAAATGATGTCAAGAATTTCGACTGGTAAGTGAATAGGTTTCTGCATTGTTGAGGAACTTGTAGGGACAAAGCGTACGTGACCTTAATGATTGACATTGTGAACTACCTATTTTATAAGTCCAGACTGAAATAAAAAACGAAACTTGGAAGTAAATTCCCCATTGAATTTTTCGTGTGAATTGGGGTGTGTAAAAAGGATGAGCTGCAAGTCAGACCTTGTTACGTTGAAAAGCATTTTCAACATTGTTTTGATGTAAATTTCCGCGTGGTTCATAAATCAGGGCGATAACCCATTGCTAATGGATAACGGAGATGTCGGCAGTTGGAATTTCGATAGCTCGAGATGTGTATAAGGCAGATTGTGTGATATCGGGTAAGTTTGCGCGTGGCCCGCGTCTTATGTCGTGTTCTCGCATTTCGGAGCAAACTTGTTGAGACATGAGTTTTTGAAAGATTGACGAATGTATATAGGTCTTGGTAAATTCTTGTTGAAAGTTGGAGGCATAGGTTGAATGAGGGCGAGTGGTTGTCATGTTATACCAGATGCGATCAAGTAGTGACGATGGAAATGAACGTGAAAACCTTGAATCATGACGTTTGATTGCTGAAGAGACATCTCAGAAAAAAAAATGATTTGTGATCTGAAGAACGTATGTGTCATTCGCGCGACTCAAATAGTAAGAGTAGGGTTTTGTCTAAACTCTAGGGGGTTTAGGCGGTTTAGTTTTGCGTCAGGTTGTATTTGCTTCGGCTTTCTACATATTTCACTTGTATATAAGCCGTAACGTAACATACACACGTGAAGTGTAATTTTTTAATTTGTAGAGGACATGCCATTCAAGTGAGCACATTTGCTTTACTTACCGATTTATACAGTGTTCTCGCGGTTTGACACAAACTGGATTGGGTATATGTATACTAACTATAATTAGGATTTCCGGTTAGGCAAATTGAAACAAGAAACAGACTCAGGTGTAATACAGAATCTACTCTTTGAAAGAATTATTGGTTCAAGTCGAAATAATTCAGTCACGATGTTTTTGTCAACAACGTCATATAACGAGTATATTTAGAAAAATCAGTTGAAAGCTAAGATTTGGAATTACTTGTTGTGAGCTAGTGGAATCAATCTCTATTTCGAGATGTAGTAAGAAAAATACACAATCTGAATTCGACAAACATCTGAATTACAACGGTTGATTGACAGTTGAACAAACCGTATATCCAATTAGCATCAAATTCCAAATTGCTTTGAGGTGTGTGACTGATGTTGTGAAGTATTGACGCCCCTGGTGATCTTACTGAAATGCAAATTTCTGGGTAAATACTTGGATTTTTTGTTTCATGACTTGAAATTCAACGTACTTAATTAAAGTAAAGTTCCTTCCAATCAACGCCTGGGTGAACGAGGCTTGTCAATCAATCGTGTTGGTGGTCAGCTCCTATAGATAATAAACTATGTTAGTTCTAAATTTGCGAAGCTTAGTTATTAAGCAGAAACAGTGTACTTACCATTAAATCATTTAAATTCCAGTGAGTTCTGAAATGACACTGAATATGATGATATTTGAATAATGAAGTTAATTCTTCAGCCTTGCCTTTGATTATGAATGGGTCATGTGTGATAAAAATAATTTGCTTGAAGTTGGTTGGTTTAATGAGCAATTTCCCTTCAAGCACTTCGAGCCCTTTAATTAAATCCAAACGTGAATGCCAGAAATTGGTTACGAAAATTTCCATGTTTTGGAAGATTTCGAATTGTAGCCAGGATAGACCGTCTGAAGTGTGAGTTATATCAATGGTGCGTATGACTCTAAGTTTAGGAAAATTCTCGTGACGTAAATCGTTTGGAAGAAACTCAGGCATAGATTCAAAAAATAGGATTTCAAGGGAATTTCGCAAGGCTAATACTATCTTGATGGTTTGATCGTAACTTTCGATCGATGAAGCATCTAGGATTTTGATGTGTTTCCCATTACTTTTGCACAACTGGATTAGGGCAGCCATATTGTTTGGATTACACGTGACATATAAATGCTTCAGGCGTGGTAATGATGCTGGTTTTAGATTCAAAGGTCTTAAAAAATTGAGGTGAAGTGATAGTGATTCAAGTGATCTAGTGCCATTGAGCAGATCTCGTATTGATTCCGAATGAGTGATATGAGTTCCATGAAAATTATGGAGTACATTTAAGACTTTCAAGTTGGTGGTTCTTGCGAGGATGTCGATAATTTCGGGTGTGAAACTGATGGCAGATTCGAATTTGAGTCTTAAGTCCGAAAGAGTATGGTGACATAAATTTAGCATTTCCGTTACATGGTGGAGTTGAATTACTGAGTCATTCAATTTATATTTGGGAGATCCAGCATGATCGAGTGAATTCGAAGCCATTCCAAGAAATTCGAAAGCTAGTGTAGAATATAGGGCAGGCGAAACCACTCTCTCAAAACTAAGACGTCTTATGCGCGATCCGGTTGAAATGACAGCAGAATGTTTCCAATTTGTGAGGAAGCAAGAGATCACAGGCGTCGTGGCGAAAGAAAGATTATTGTAGGCGTGACGCAAGACTGCAATTGACCAAGCGGTTGCTACTAATCGGAAGTTAAGTAGTTCTAATAACAATGAGTGTTTCAGTGCCGGAGAATCAGCACTGTTGTTACGATTGATTGCTGGTTCGGACGAAGCGTCAATGGAATGAAGAAGAATTTGATTTATGATTTCCGCAGGAAAATAGTTATTACTACCCATGATTGATGCAATTAGTGTCGTTGCAACCAGGAAAAAAAGCGATGACATATATCTAGCTAAAAGTGTTCGATCTTTATCAAAGTCCTAGGTTATTCTGGGGAGAGGGATGCCTTGATTGGTTGGGGATAGAAAAACAAATGGGGTGTCAGATCGAAGGTTACTTGGGGTGAATCTAGAGTGTTATCAATAGTGAAGTGTCGTAACCGGTAGAACTTTACACTTGAGACGGGAAGAAAAAGTAAGTGTCTATGCAAAATCTCCAGGCGTGGAGTTGGCAATTGAAGTACGTACTGTTAATTGTGTAGGGAAGGAACTGTAAGTTGGTAAAAGTAACTTGGCTATGGAAGGTAGGATAGACGATCACATCAAATGAAAATCTTCAATTGGAGGGAAACGAAGAAACAAGGATTATGTTACTAACGTTCATTAGTAAGTCATTTGCTGGTTATGGATGTCAGATGTATAGGAGTATAATCATGGGATAGACCAGAGTGTGTCAGTCGGTCTTGATGTTCGGTGAGATTTTAAATCTATTCCGCATAGAAGATTCCGAGTGTGTCGATAGTAAGTTTTGTCATTTGAGGCAAATTTACGACCTATACGCTGAATCAGAGTAGAAGGTTTTGTTGATGTATTAGATGTGAAGTTGAGAAGCATGAGTACCCACGCGTTAAACAGTTTATAAGCGATTCATATGTGGAAGTGAAAGAGAACAAACCGTCACAGTGGATTGATGAGCACAAGGTGAGGGCAAGTGTTGTGAAGACTAAAAAATTAAGTTAGGAATGTTGGTACGAAAGACTTACCTGTGCGGTAACAGTAAAAAAGCTTAAGTCCTTACTGCTAGAGCCACGTTAGTTAAGTCTGTGGAAACATCACATGCAGTGTTGACTTAGTAATGCCATTGAATATATTTTTGATACATAAGCACCAAGCATATTTTGGTACTTTTTTTAAATTAGAACGGATGAATTGTCTTGTGATTAGTCATTCACAAGTCGAGTCGTAAAATGTTTATACATCTTGGATAACAATGCATGTTTCTGGGCAGAATGTTTGATTTAGAACCTTCTACCTGAAGCTGATACATAGGTGTCTTGTGTTTGTGTAGAATTAATTAAGTAATCTTATGTTTGTCGTTAAGATGGGATGTGATGCAGTCTTCAGCAAATAGAAATTTGGGTAGGTTTTTAAAGAGAAAATGGATTACATTTATATGTACGTGTTACTTGATGTGTTGGTGATAAAGCAAAAAGGTTGAATTGAATAGAAAGTATACATAGGACGTGGTTCTTATATAGATCAAGCACTATAAAATCCATCTAAATAATTACGGCTGGTTTGTATGTGTGAGGTCGATTCCAATCATCGATACCCACCCTGAGTAGATTTATGACTAATAAAACATGTTAGTAAAAAATCCAAGCTCTGGGACCAAGAAAAAAGATGAACTTACGTAATGTCAAGTGAAGGAAAGTCTACCAAGGCTGAAGATGTCACTCATTGTTGATCTTGTTAACTAACTCCTAAAGTCAATAAAGAGCATGAATGGAGGGTTAATATTATTTGAATCAGTCAAGACGCTTCGATGTACTTACAATTAGATCAGGGAAAGTACATTTGGAGGTGAAGTGGCAATATACGTCATGACGTTTGAACATTTCCGATAAGCTTTTGTCTTCACCCTGTTTGGCTTCTTGATTATTCATAACAAAAACAATGTCTTTGAAGGTTATGGGCTTTGTGAGCAATCTATCCTCAATTGCTTCTAAGCCGGCGCGGTAGTGATCATGTGAGTGCCAAAAACTGGCTACGAAGGTATGCACGTTTTGAAAAATTTCATAATTTAGCCAAGACAGACCGCTCCTGGTGTGAATTACGTCGATAGTACGAATGACTTTGAGCTTCGGAAAAATTTCAGTTTGAATATCAGTAGGCAAAAGATCAGGGATGGACTCAAGGAATAAAATTTCGAGCGAATGTTGTAGGCTTAAAACTACTTTGCTGATGTGGTCGCGGTTTTCATGTGCAAATGCTTCTAAGCACCTAATATCATTACCATGGTTCTGACATAACTGGACGAATGCTTTGGAATTGTATGAGTTGCATGTTAAAGACAGGTGCTGTAAATGTGGTAGTGATGCAGGTTTCAAGTTAAGAGGTCTTAAGAAGATGAGGTGGAGTGATAATGATACGAGGTGAGTAGCAGCATTTAGCAAGTCCCTTATTGACTCTGAATGATTAATTTGGAATCCACGTGTGTTGCCAACTATGATCAAAGCTGTTAAGTTGGGAGTCCGTTCAACGATCCTAATGAATTGAGGCGTGAAACTGACAGGAGAATCAAAGTTGAGTTTCAAGTCGCTAAGCGTGTCATGACATAAATGGAGGGCTTCCTCAACGATTGTCATCGGGATCACTGGTTGATCAAATTTGTATCTGAGGCACGCCAGGTAACGAGATGAGGTCGAAGCTTGACCAATACTTTTCAAAGCAGACTCGGATTGGAATGCGGGGTAATCAACTTGGTCGAATGTGAGGGACCGCACACGAGATGCGGTTGAAATTATTGAAGAGTGTTTCCAATTGTTAATGAAGCATGAAATCATCGAAGTTGAGTTGAAGCGAATGCTATTGTAAGCGTAAGGTAATACTGCGAGTGACCAGGTACTATTGACTAATCGTAATTTAAGGAGTTGTGATAGTAGCGAGTGGTTCATTGGCGCTAGGTGAACAATGTTCTTGCAATTGATGACTGAGTCTGAAGATATATCGATGTAGTGAGAAATGATTTGGTATACAATCTCTACAGGCAGAGAGTGATTATTAGGCATTGTTGACATATGAATTGCATTTAGTACAGGATGATGTAGTACGATGAAGTGAGATAAGTAAACTTAACTGTGTTTGGGTTAATATAAGGAGCGCAGATGATAAAAGAGAAGTTGGTATTGTGGTTGATTGGGGGTTCGAGATAAGTATTGGGGTAAACTGGCATGAGTTGTTTTCATGCGAGCTGAAAAGCATGAGGATAATCTTGTGTCATGAACACTTGATTGGAGAGACGGTGAGTGAAAAGAAGTCTATTTGATGTTGATGAAAATAAGTCGTGCCACATCGACAGATGGAGACTGGTTAATCCACGGGAAACTGGAAGACAGGGTATCGGGGACTGGCTAAATCTCATGCAGTATCTCGTTTGTCTTGATATAAAGTGATGTCCTTCGAAACATGAATCCGCAAGCCTGGGCGGAGAATAAACCCAAGGAGTTTGTTTAATCGGTCAGTGCAAGAATTTTGAAAATTGTCAGTTTGTCTTTGAGCGGAAATTGTTGTGGAAGGTAGGTAGGTGATGTGATCAGACGTAAGTGAAGCAGGCAACAGACTATTTGAGAGACAGAAAGGTACCATTGAAATTAAGTCCTAGGAGTAACTTTAATCCAGTTTTGGACAATGTGGCTAAGACTTTAATCCAGTTTTGGGCGAAGTGGGTTTGGCTTTAACTTGTATGATCATTCCATTCTTCTAACCACTTCTGACTCTAGTTGAATTGCTTTTGTTTAATAGATATGCTCTTATTTTTCTTCCCTGTTCGGTTCTAGGCTATCTCCTTGTTTCGTTTTGCCGATTTCAATCGGAAACGGCCATTTCCAAACGTGGCTTCATCATGCCCTGCCCTAGTGTTCACTTGTTACCACCCATCACCTTACTACCTTCTTCATCACCCTGACTTCAAAATTGAAATTGATTTTTCGATTTGGACCAATTCAGGTAAGTCCCTCTTCCCTTTTATCTTCTTTAGCTTCTAACTCGTTCTAACCTGTTCTACCTCCTCAGCCTTCACAACCCTCTCCATCCCTTTAGCTCAAAATCGAGATCAAATCTCGATTCTGACCAAATTAGGTAAGTCTTTCCTTTTTTTCTCTTCTGTAGCTTCTGCCCCTTCTGACTACCCCTTTCTCTTTTTGTTTTCATGTACTCTTTGTTTAGTTTAAACCATCCCGATCGATCGATTTCTAGTGTTTGTGTTTAAGGCTCAGCCAGCCGTTTTTTTTTCTTTCTTGCTATGTTCCTGTTTAGTTTAGTCTAGATGTTGTCAGGGATTAGTTTGGCTGAGGATGATGTAATGAAAAAAAACCAAAAATGCGACTTTTGGAAAAAGATATGCTGAGCTGAGAGTGCCCCAGATAAAAAAATAAAACTAAAACTAAAAATAAGCTATAAAAGGAGGCCTTCAGATAGCCTTTCAGAAAACTGCTTTCCACAGCGGCAAGTAGTATGTCAAAGAAGAAAGATAAGCCAACTGGACAAATACCAAAGAATGAATGGTACATGATGTTTGCAGAATGGACAAGGGCAAAACAACTCATGTTAAAATATTTGAGAGAAAAATATTGGCATGTAGATATAGCAAAAGGGTGATGTCTAAACTTCTGCTTAATTCAGTGTATCGAATTGAGGTTGAAACTTTGTATTACAAAATTCAGGTTGTAGAAACACTTTGAATACATAGAAAGTTTAAGCTTGAGACATGGAAGGATTACAGTGTTCCGGTACGACATAATGGTCCAGACAGATGTTATGTGTAATCACATCAATGGAGCTCCTGGAGATGCCGGCGTTCTGAGACCAATCTTCCTAGAAGAAGCTTTAGCAAGGACATTGCTGTTGAGAGATGGTAGACACTTATTATTAGACAATTGTAAGCTTTTTCTATTGTCAACAAGAATTCTTAGACAGGAAATAATTTTTCTGATTGGAAAATTTAGCCTATGCAAAAGGAAATGTAAAAGAACCTTTCAGCCCGATCACAGGAGGTAAATACCCTGAAGGGAAAACACACAATACAATAGATGCCCTGATAATTGATGAACAAGAAGAAGAAGAAGACAGCTATTTCCTAAAACCCCCTCCTTTCAATACAAGTCATAGTGCAAATTGTTGAGGCTGGAATGGCGTGGCGCCCTAGATGGCGCGGCAACCAAGCCTAGCTCACCTGTTTTCGGTTTAGCCTGGATGGAAGGCTTAGGAATGTCTAGGAACATGTTTCTGTTCAGACCGGTTTCATCTAGTCCTCTAGCGTATTGTTGTAACGCCTCGTCGAAACTTGTTTCATATAAATGTTCCACGTTCTTCTCTAAACTTGTGTCTCTTTGTTTGTTTCGGTAGACTATCACTGACGCTAGTTCAATACGTTAGAACCTTATTCCTCTCAATGCTATTGTCACAAATCTTTGTTTGTTTCGGTAGACTATCACTGACGCTAGTTCAATAGCATTGATCTTCCCGCTCTGTCCCTCTACAGGTTATGAGCTATACTTTACCAGGAGACATCGACGAATCATTTGATACTGCCAACTCAAACTCAATCGAAGGATCAGGAAACAATCACAAAACTACCTCGCGAATTGAAGACTTACCTGAATCCGACATTTCTGACCAACACGCATTAACTATGGACAATGCAAATCAAGGTCTTATGACCAACGCCAACGATGGAGATCAAGTCATGACCAGCCAAGTTGCGCCAGTTTTACATCAAACTCACCAAAGTTTACATAACAATCAACAGAACGTTCACACTCAACAAAACCTTCATCAAACGATTCAGAATTTCTTTCAAGTCACTCCGGAAGCTGACGGAAGAATCAAATCATTCGCCACTATGTGGAAACATTGTCCAATCAAATTAGATCGTCTTACTCAATTAGCTGCTGACGGTAACAACTTCGATATTTGGGACGCCGACTTCAGAAGATTACTTAAATCTTTTGCTGGCTGCTCGACTTATCTTCAAGAAGGTGCCTTACCTACTCAGACCAGTTGGAGCGACGACTATGCTGAAGGAGTCGTAGGTCTCATGCATTGGACCATCGATAAACACTTAAGCCTTTGTCTTGATCAAGTTTCCCAAATTCCATGTGGGAGATATGCTTACCTCAAGGCGCAATTTTCAGGACAAACGTATGCTAGCAGAGTATCCTTATATCGACAACTTCATTCGACCAAGTACGACCCATCGTCAGAAACCATCGATTCTCATATTGCAAAGGTGGCCGCTATCAGACGCAAGTTAGAACGCTCGGGAATGATGATTGGGGATGATAATTACGCAGCTATCTTAGCTACTAGCACTACACAAAATGTAATCTTTACCGGGCGGTAAAGAAAACTACTGACATAGAAAAGTCCTGAGGCAACAGGAAGAGAGCTAAAAATCTGAAAAAATATGCTCCTTGTTCCTAGATGTTGGGGCGTCATGATGAGTATTTTTTTGTATTTTACACACGGATATGGGTTAATGTACTAACAATAAAGGCTGAGAATCATCAAAAACCCACCTGTAACAATACCTGAAATTTGGCCCTTGATTTTGAAGACAGGATTTTGGAATCTTCAAACATCAATAACTTTTGCAGTCCTCAATCAAATCACTCGGTTTGAAGTGCATTAAAAAGGTGAGCCTTTCCTCTACATTTTGCATTGAGACATCACATCTGTAGCTGGTCTAAAAAAGATCCTACAGAGATATTCATGCAGAACTGTTTGAACATATGTAGAGTGTTTAAATGACTAGATAGCACCTTAATAACATTATGAAGTGTGAAGGAGAATAGTTCAGCTTTTGAATGAACCAAAAATCGAGTTATTTGGAGCAGAATTGCCAAAGTTATTGAAGTTTTTAGACCACAAAATATTGTCTTCATACTCATGACCCAAATTTCAGGTATTGTTACATGTGAGTTTTTGATGATTTTCAGCGTTTATTGTTAGTACATAAACCAATATCTGTGTGTAAAATACAAAAAATACTCATCATGACGCCCCAACATCTAGGAACAAGGAGCATATTTTTTCAGATTTTTAGCTCTCTTCCTGTTGCCTCAGGACTTTTCTATGTCAGTAGTTTTCTTTACCGCCCGGTAAAGATTACATTTGGTGTAGTGTAGTTTACCCAGTGATTTTCCCAACGTTACTCACACTTTCGAATCAATAATCAGAGCTAATCCTAGAGCAACTATAAGCGGATCAAACATGACCTGGGCATTAGGAGCGGCAGATGTTGAACATAAGAGAGGAAATGTTAACGTACCTGAAGGATTATCTGCGATGGTGAAGAAGAAAGTTGATAAATCTAGTATCAAATGTTATTTTTGTAAGAAAAGGGGACATAAGGAGGAGGATTGCAGGACTCGCATCAAGGCTGAGAAGGACAAAGAGCGCACCGTGGCAGTGGCCTCTACTTCCGACACTCGAATTGTCGAACCACAATTCGCCGATCTCGATTTTTCTGGGTGTGTGGACGTCAGAAACATCATTGTTTCTCTGATACTGACATCGCACCTTCCATTATTGTTTTCGATACGGGGGCAACTCATCAAGTCTTTAATAATCGCACTTATTTCACCACATTACGCAACATCAAACCTCTTCCTGTGAAAATGGCAGATAATTCATCTTCATCTTTTATTACTGCTGTAGGAACTGTTAGAATATGCAATGTAGCGGACTCGTCAGAGTTCTTGAATGTTGAAAACGTTTATCTTTGTGAGAATTTGAGGCATAGCCTGCTGTCCGGTATTCAACTTGTTGAAGATGGAATTACCTTTCGAAACACACACAATGGAATCGATCTCTTGAAGAACAACTCCAGGGTGATGACGGCACAAAGGTCAGGTAGGAAATGGATTCTTCAAGCTATTCCCCATTCCGTGACCACAGCTGCTGTATTGGGTGACTTTATGCTATGGCATCGTCGCCCGGGTCATCCAAATGACCGCACTCTATCCAAGCTCATTTGAGATCAAGCATGTGTAGGATTACCGGAGAAGCT